GTTGCTTGGGGGAGCTCGCGACGAGGCTGCCATACTCGGCGCCATCTTGTACCTATCTTGTACCTCGTCAATCACTGCAAGCATTCTTGGCTGTGATAGCAGCTGCTCTAAACTTTTCACCAACGGTATATAATGAAAACAATGGTCCTTAACGGCAAGAACTCTGGAGTCTCCACTATTCATGTCACTGTTTGCGGGGAAAGCCGTGTGAGGTATGAATGAAGGACCCAAAGCGCAGGCACTGACTGAGATGTAAGTGGGCTTTAAGGAGAGTGACATACAACCAAAAGCGGAAGCAGAACTCAGAAATAATCTAAACAGGAAAAACTAAGACCTAAACTACAAACCTGAACACGAGAGGATGGAGCGCGGAGGTAACACGAAGACCGACAAGCAGGAAGAACAGCATGGAGGGACACAGACGGACCAGTAACGCACACAAGAGGACACATGCTATAAATACACACAGAGGGAAACGAGGAGACTGCACACAGGAGGGACACACAGCTGAACCTGATGAATCTGACGAGACAGGGATGATGCAAACTGAATACACTGACACAGGACACAGACCTTCACAGTGAGACAGGAAACTCAACACACACGCAAAAACACAGACTAAGAAACACGGGCTTTACACAGAGGAAACACACAGGCCGGGAATGACAAGATGCAGAACGAACTAGAAAGTCTCAACCAGAATACATAATAATAATAATAAGAAACACAAAAGGCTGGGTCAAAAGACCCAGGCTACGACACTTCACATAACATACTGTATGTTTTGCAACAATAATCTCTGGTTCAACTGGTTTTAACAGTTCTTTGATGGTCTTGTCCTGCAAATGGGTGGAAGCAATTTGAATGAAAGGGTCAACACACTGGTCAAATACCCCCATTGCATCATCTTTAGTTGATCCAGGTCCCCAGAATGTCTCTCAGTCATTTGTTGTTTCAGGTGCTCCTAACAGGGCCTGATATTGCTGGACTCCACTCACGATGTGGTCAACAGCTCTCTGAGGAAAAAGCAAATGAAAATACTAAATCACAGAATTCATATGAAACACAGTGAACATGCAAACTCACAGAGACACACTTTTTGAAAATGGAACCCTTCAATTACATAATGTTAGTGAGATGTAATGATCAAATGACTTGCAATGATTTTTTCCTCAATTTATTTTAAATAATAATATTATCTTCTGCAGCTTTAAGACCTTGTTGTCACTTGATTGTAATGTGTTTTGAGGGATGGGCTCATAAGTGGAACATGTAAATTGAAAGTTTGTGTTATGTGTGTTCTGTTGTCTCTATTCTTAGCTCATGATAAGGAAATATAGTAGATAGGCAGATTTTGGATGCAACATACATGTCTACTTCCACATATAGCGAGGGAGTGAGATCTGAGTGGTCACTCATGAAGTACATGGAGACACATTCTAATGTCAGGTGGTTCACTCACATACCTAAAGCTGTCCATGACCAGCTATAATATTGGCCATATTATATTTACATTACCACAGTGAGATGACTTTAGTCTCATGAACAACATCAGCTAATTTTTATTTACTAGCTAATCTTAAAATGAGTGTTCAGTACAGAAATGAAGCCCAACAATTATGTTTTTACAGTCCTGTGGTCTCAGCCTCAGATACTTATCAAATTAAACACAGCTCATATAAAAACAAACAGATGAACCAAAGATTTTCTCTTTCATTTCTGTCAAACAATGCTGTATGAAACGTTTCCAGCGGTTAATATCATGGTTGCAAGGCAACCTGGGCAGCGCGACAGAGGCTAGACTGTCCAATATCACAAGCCTCGCACTTCTGGCCTTAGCGGTATTTGAGTACGCGGCCCTTGAGGACTGTTAGGGCTGCGTACTTTAAGGCTGCAGACCCTGAAGTGGGATACAGCCATTGGCTGCAGTACTAGTATTAGAGTACTAGACTCTGCGTTAGAGTATCACTTCCTGTTCCTGTTACAACATACAATGGTGTTTTTGTGTAGCTTATCTGCGTAGCACTTTAATAAAAACTTTTGGATAACTTCTTATTTCATCGTTTAATCTTCAGGCGCTTCATCTGAAGCACCCTCTCCGTGTACTCACTAATTTATAGTCAAATTTATAGTCAAAGTATTCACTCACCGTGTCTTTACTTAGCTTAGCTTGTAGCCAACTTGCTAGCAGCGTAGCTGAATGCCTGTGCGGACACCACTTTCTCCAGGACTTTTTGACAGGAATTTGAGTTTGGACATATTTATTTAAGAGTTGTCAAGGTTTGCACTGTTACGTGCACATAAAAAGGAAAAATCCTAGTTCTGTTATTTTCTTTATCTCCAGCTATTGAGTATTTTAGGTAGGGGACAACACTACCATTACTCAATATCACAGTCAAAAGATCAGTAAGTCACAACCTTTGAAGTTCTTTTTGATACCACAAAAATGCAATTTAGTGGTCAAACCATGTCTCGGAAAGCCCTTTGTTAGGACCAGCTTCCTGTTTTCAGACACTGATTTTATTTATTGTGTGCAAAAGTCACTGATTTCAGGCAACAAATAAAAGCAAGCAAATGCAAAATGACTTAGGTTCAGGGAATACACATGCATTTTGTGTTGTCTATAATTTATGTTACATATACAGATTTAGTCCAAGCATTAAACCCTTTATTGATTTAATGCTTGGACAGGAAGAAATAAACATATAGCAACAAACATGCAGACATAATCTACTGAAAACTATTAGATACAGTTGAAAGCCTCAGAATTCCCTCATTCAGAGATAATGCGATTTGTGTCCAACATTAATTTATCAATATTTTTGAAGAACAAAAATATGACAAAATGCTAGAAATAACATTTACCTACTAAACTGACAACGCAGGCAACTGTCTTAAAGCCATGAGCATCTAATTTTCTAGTTCACCACTGCAGCTCACTGTCACTGTGGGAAGATTCATTTCAGTGAAGCTGCTGCTGGTTGCCATGGTAATTAAGCATAATTGCACAGTTGAAACTGACATTTTTTGAACAGGTTCAACAACATTAGTATCTGAGTCTGTGTTATAAGCTTGTCCATCCTATAATATACAGTTTTAATTAGTCAGAATTGTTTTTAGAATTATGTAACTTTTATGGCATTTTGATAGAACAAGCTCGAAAGGCTAGATGATGTCCTGAGCTGCATTCCCCTTGCTGAAGACCAAAGGCAGAGTGACACCACAACAAGGCAGCAGTAAAGGTCTGGAGATGTATCACCACAGAAGATGCAACTGGACTCATTATGTTGCTGAATAGATTATTCCCATTAGATCACATCATGTCCAATAATTTGTGGATGACAAACTATGTGGTTCAGTGGTTAACACTATCACCTCACAGGAAGATTCTCCTTTGCCTTTGTGGGTTGTTTTCTTAGGGATCTCTGGCTTTCTCCCACAGTCCACACACATGACAGGTGATTTCTCTCTCTGCCCAGGGGTGATGTGAGGTGGGCAAATACTGAATCACTTCTTTAACAGGTTTGATTCATCCAGGAGGCAGTCTTAAACATCGTCTGCAGACTCACCCACCCCCCATGCTGCTGTTCCACCTCAGCCACTTCACACCTCCTCCACACACCCAGCTCACTACTCCCCCACCCCCAACCACAGCATACCAACTTTATTGTCTAATTGGCTTTGTGACTCTGAATTTGACTTTAAATCAGTGCAGAAGAAACTTGTTATTCAGTGCCAGCAGGAGTGAAATTTGCTGATATGAGCCAAGAGGTACAAGAAACGAGTTTGTGTGCGGCCCATTTTTTTCAGAACCGTGAGGGAGCCTGGGGTGACTGAAGCCTTCCTTTGTACTTCCCCCAGCTGTTACACATAATTTTAATGTTTTTACGGTTAAATATTATCTGTAATCTTGAAGTCTTTTGATCAGGATATGTGCTTCAAGGTGCACATTAAACAAATATGTAGGACAGCTTTCTTACATTTCTGTAATATCTCTGAAATTAGAAACATCCTGCTTCATAGTGACACTGAAAAGCTTGTTTATGCATTTACTACTTAATACTTCAAGTACTTCTCTTGTAATTTATTATTATCAGGCTGTCTTAAAAACTTTGTCTGATGACCCATTCACAAAAAAATAAATCACAAAATCATTTCCAACTTCACTGCTCCATTATATTTACATCATATCCTGTCTGTCTGTTGGACACTTCCTGTAAATTAAGACGACTGCACTTAAACTTTTAACTGATGATCATACAATGTAAACAGTTTGTGTCGAGGCCCTGGCAGTAATGGAAAAGGCAAATATCGAGTGCCATTACAGCTCCAAACATATACAAAGGGTCTTTGAATAGAGGTCTGCGTGTACCACAGAGCCATGGCTCACTGTCTGAGTGTCTAAATGAGTCTCACAGGCCTGAATGCTCACTTGAAGTTATTAAAACAAGCATGAATTTTGGACTTTAAACTGTGTTTTAAAGTTTTACAGCTTTTCCTAGTGAATAAAAACCTCCTTTATTGCCATTCATGCTACACAAAGACATCAAGCAAATAACAATTAAATGACAGAAAAGTTTGTTTTTCACTTTTTACTACAGAAATCTCTGTTTTATATGACTACTGACACCCTACAGTTTAAAAAACAAAAGGAAAAAACTGTGCAGTTTGAGCAATGAGCTGTCAGGGCTTTTTTCTGTAATCTGTAAGAAATTCACATTTGAGATTTGTTGGTCTGGAAAAGGTTATAAAGCCACGTCTAAAGCTATGGGACTCTACCAAACCACAGGGAGAGCCATTGTCCACAAATGGAAAACATGGAACAGTGAAGGCAAGGCAAGGCAAATTTATTTGTATAGCACAATTCAACAACAAGGTGATTCAAAGTGCTTTACAGAGACATTAGAAACAAAAACAAATAAAAAGCATGATTTAAAATTGATTAAAACAAGCAAACAAACAAACTAACTAAACACACACATTTCACACCTGTTCGCGCGATCTGAACCCTTATCGTAAGGGGAGCTACCAGTCCTTCTGTGGACGAGCTACTTTCTATTTTAAATTCCCTGAATTTAAAATACTCTCTAGACCCAGTCTAGACCCAGCTGGGGAGCTACCCAGAGCTCTAATCCCACACCTGTTCGCGCGATCTGAACCCTTATCGTAAGGGGAGCTGCCAGACCTTCAGTGGTCAAAAAGGAGTGGCCGGCCGTCCAGCCACGACTCATTCAGCCCAGAACAACATCCAAAGTGCTGCACGACTCACTCGCCTCAGTTAAGGTTCATCACAAGGGGGAAGTAACAAAGTACAAATACTTTATATTCTACTGTACTAACGTAGAATTATCAGGCATCTGTACTTTACTGGAGTAGTTTTTTTCCTGACATTTTTAAACACCAACACAGCCGGAGATCGACAGACGGATTGGGGCTGCAGCTGCAGTAATGCAGCTGCACCGGTCCGTCGTGGTGAAGAGGGAGCTGAGTGTAAAAGCGAAGCTCTCAATTTACCGGTCGATCTACGTCCCTACCCTCACCTATGGCCACGAGCTGTGGGTAGTGACCGAAAGAACGAGATCGCGGATACAAGCGGCAGAAATGAGCTTCCTCCGAAGGGTGGCTGGCCTCTCCCTTAGAGATAGGGTGAGAAGTTCGGCCATCCGGGAGGGGCTCAGAGTAGAGCAGCTGCTGCTCCACATCGAAAGGAGCCAGCTGAGGTGGTTCGGGCATCTGACAAGGATGCCCCCTGGGCGCCTCCTGGGTGAGGTGTTCCAGGCATGTCCCACCGGGAGGAGGCCCCGGGGCAGACCCAGGACACGCTGGAGAGATTATATCTCTCGGCTGGCCTGGGAACGCCTTGGTGTTCCCCCGGATAAGCTGGAGGAGGTGGCTGGGGAGAGGGAGGTCTGGGCCTCTTTGCTTAGGCTGCTGCCCCCCCGGACAAAGCGGATGAAAATGGATGGATGGATGGATTTTTAAACACATATCTGTACTTTGGACTGCTTAAATTTT